CATTCATTCACCTGAAAATATTTAATGAGTTTCTACAATGTTTTATAAAGAATATACCACAATCTCTCTGTTACTACACTGCTTATTACCAGCACCGGCACCACCAACCACCATAATAATGAACATTATGGAACACCTACTATTTCTTAGGCAGGACTCGACATAAAAAAAATTAACCCACTTAATCCCCAAAATATCCCTGTGAGCAGGTGCTGTTATCTCCATATTATCAATAAAAAAACTTAGGCACACAGAAGTTAAGGAACATGCTCAAGGTCACACAAAATGCAGTCTCAGTTCTTTTGTATCTTATATTCTGGTGAAAATAGATGTGTGAAAAGAAAGAATTTCTCATAGTGAAGAAAATACTTCACTTGCCTGCAGAGACCAGGGAAGGGCATTCAGAGGACATGGCTTCATGTATTGAACAACGTTATAGTTCCCAAGGAAAAGTAGAGGTAAGAGCATTCATTTAAAGAAATTATAAGATATTTGGTATGACTGGAGGTTAGGGTATGTGTAGAGAGAAAAGGCTAGTGGCTGAAGTTGAGTCTGGATTCTCTTAGTTATGCAAGTTTAGACCAGATAAAAGTTTCAAAACTTTTTATTTTGAAATAATTTTGTACTTAAGAAATTTTCAAAAGTACAAATAAAATTACCCAGATTTACCTATTGGTAATATTATACTTTAATTTCTTTATTCTATCTATCATTTATCTACAATCTCTCTGTCTAAACAGACACATGCATACATGTACACACAAAGATAAAAATTACACTTTGACTAAAAGTGAGCAGGCTGCTAGTGACCAATTTAGAAATGTAACTCAATATTTGAAATAAACAGAACTGTTTGCTGAAACTACTAAAAACTTGAATCAATAGTTGATTTTTATATTGCGGGACTTTAATAAAGGTTCCTACTTTTTATATTAATTTGAACAGGTTATTTGTAAAATAAAGTAAAATTTTAAGAGTAATAGTAATCAAATAACATTATTTCTAAATAAACCCTATGTTTTTAGTTGATGAAATAAAAGTTCTCTAGAAAACCACATTCTCTCCATGATGCTCAAAATGGATTACATTAAATTTTGATTTTGTTGCCTTTCTGTTTTCTAATGTTCCAAACTGTTAAAAAAAAACTTAAATACAAATAACATATTCAAGACCTTTGGTTGGAGGAAAGAAATGCAAGAAAGTAGAAATATCTGTGTTCAAATTTGGCAAGTCTTCGTCCTTTCGGAACATTCTTATTCTTTCGTATAAACAGGTTAACACATTTTTAAATGTCTGAATCTGTTATATATCACAAGTGCAGACAACACGGGGACTGTGTCTGTAGAGCTGAATAGTAAATTGAAGTAGACTTTTCCATACTGAAAAGCAGGCAAGAAGGACAGGCTCTGCTGGATGGGGAGAACAGGAGCTCAGCCAGCTTGTGAAATGAGGAGGAAGAAAGAATGATCCATTTATAGATTTAGGATTTTACAGCTTTGGAAAGGTACGTGTAATATTTTAACTGTACTTCTGTCAAAATTTCCTCTTCAACAGCATTCCTACTGGAAACTTTTAAAAACAACTACAACATTCATTTATCTCAACAGCTGCAGGTACTTGAACCTCAGCCTCTGCAGTGTCCACAGCCTCTTGAACAATGAACGTGGAAATTATCAGAGAAACAAACCCTGGCTGAATGCAGTTAAGTGCTCTGTAATTACATGCCAGTGTTACCATTTGGCTGCTGGTGCGGCCCCCTGTGGGCACAGGTGCTATAAATGCTCACACACACCCAATCAAATCCACAAAGACCTTTCATTACGTATCATTTGAAACACCCTTCGCTTGAAAAAGACTAGCTCAACTTTAGTTCTCTCCCTTTTTTCTCCTTACCATTTCTTTCCCCTTTGTTATATATAAAAATTCTGTTTTTTCCTAATGAATATTACTGTGCTATTTTACAAGAAGCTGTTCCAATTGGTGAGTGTGATGGTAATGTGGCAGGAGGAAGAATGTCTTTCCTCCCTCTGAGTGGCTCCCTGGGCTCTGTGAAAAATTGGTAATAATTGTCCCTACTTCTTTTCTTGTGCATAATGTAGGGTGCAAGGGCTCCAGAAAGAGAATTTAAGTACCTACAGCTGTTGAGATCAATGCAGCAACGGAAAAAAAGACTCAGCAAGTCAAAATTAGCACCATTTGTGCATGCTTCTGTTGCTTAAAGATCATTTTTGAGTCTTTACAACTTTCATTTTACAAAGGACTCGTATCCACAAAGAAAACTATTTATTGCTGACCAAAATAAACAAAAAAATAGGCTTTTCTGGCAGCAGTAAAGGTCCACTTTTCCTGAAACTACTATCTAATTATTTCTTCAAAGTGTTCCCTAGAAGAAACATACAAGCCACAGAGAGGAGCATTTGTTCATCAAAGGAAACCACACAAGCAGTCTCACAAAAAAGTCAAAGGTGCTGTGTCCCCAAATAATGTCCCACACAAAGCTTTGTGTTGTTGGGTGTCCATGATGAAGACAGACAGAGCTCATAAACAGATAGAAAGGGGAGAGAATCCAACAAGTTCAAAATGTGTTATTAGAGGACAGAAATTACTTGAA